TCTGTCCTCTTTTCTCTTTTAGTTCAGCTGTGTTACTCAGCCTCTGCCTCATCATTATCCCTGTCTTAATGTAGAGGGAACATATGCAGAAAAAGTTATGGAATATTTGCTTTTAGAATAGACAAAAGAAAAACTTTCTATTACTGACCTTCAAGGTACAAATTACAGTGGCAGAAAAGTCAGTTGACTGTACAATATGAAAAGATATTGAACATGGTTTATTATATGATCAACTGCATAAGTTTTACAACACCTGCCTGAATGAGATTAATAAGGAGATATTTGGTGATGGTTAATCTTAGCTGCTAAGTGGACACAACCTGGATTCCCCACGGAAGAGGAATTCAATGAGGGATTGACTAGATAAGGTCTGTCTCTGGGAAGATGTCTGGATTACTTGTTAGTCAATGTAAGAAGACTTGTCTCTCCGTGGGCAGCACTATTTTCTGGATTTTGATTTAGTACTGCCTATGTATAGAGAGCAGGATGAGTACAAGTGAGTCTGTAGGATTTAATTTCTTTCTCTGCTCTTGAATGAGTATGTGATGTGACAAGCTATTTCATGTTCTTGTCATCTTGGCTTCCCCATAACAACGGGATATAACCTACAATTGTGAGCTGAAACAAACCATCTCTCCCCTGAGTTGCTTTTGGTCAGGATATTTGATCACAACAGTAAATGAAACTAGATCACAGGTCTTGAAATGAAGTGTATCTTTCACTTGTAAGTTAACTGTGTAGAAAAATAATCACAATATCATACACTATTTGGTTTTCCAGACTTATTGGCATTGGCACTGCAGAGAACCAGTTTGTTGATTTGTGTCCCCCCATTCTATCTCTGTCTCTCCATTTGTGAATATTATTACTATGCTAGTTACCACCACTACATAACCTTCCTCTACTACCTACAATTCTTTAGTCCTCTATGTTCTCCTCTTAAAAAGGCATTTCTTTCTAGAGACCTAGTTATGGCTTTACTGTAACTGCTATTTACTCTTCCCCAGATAACTTCACAGAATTCTAAATTGACAAATGTCACATTATGCTTACAACCTACAAATTGCTATAATTATACTAACATATAGCTACCTCTACCAGTTTTTTTAATAGAGGTATCACTAACATCTCACGCCTTTGGTTTGAATATGCAACTTCCCATCCATCTCTAATATTGTTTGCCTCGTTCAGTAATACTTAGATTCTCTTTTCTATACACATAAAGCATAATCTCTGATATTCATGTTTTTTCCAGTCAGTCAGTGATGCTCAATGATGCTAACTTCATAATGGATTTTCTCCTTCTCACGTCTATTTTTGCAGTTTAGTTCAAACTGTCTCAAAACCTTTGAAATAAGATTCAAACTTCCATAGATTCTCTGTCCTCACCTATATCCTTATGATCTGAGTTGTAACAGTTTTCTTCTAAACATACAACAAACTTTTTCCCATTATACAACTTGCTTTCAATATTTCAACATTTCCTGATCTGGTGTCTTTATGTGTGTGTGTGTGTGTGTGTGTGTGTGTGTGTGTGTGTGTGTGTGTGTATGGTTGCATATTGAGTTATAACCACAGTATGCGAAAGGTAGAGACAGACAGATCCTGGGGCCTCACTAGCCAGCCAGCTTAGCCAACTTCACAAAGTTCCAGGCCGTTTAGAGACCCTGTTTCATAAGAATGAAGTATAGAGTTTCTAAGTAATGAAGACAATATTGGTTTCTGTTCTCCACATGCACTTTCGTGTGCACACACCTGCAAATGATACCACTTCACATTCACATTCCTGTACATACACATATACCAAAAATTGGGTGAGGATCTTTCCTGCATTCAATGCAAAACTATCCTCATTCTTTCTCCATCCCATCCATCTCCTTTTATTCAACATGAACATTTTTTCTCTTCGAAGTTGTTTATATTTGTTACTTTTCCTGTCTTAAGGTTAGGTTTCCCTCATCACCTCACTGGACTACCAGTCTTAAGAGACAGGAAATGTCCTTCTTGTTCACCCCTTTCTTTCTATTGCATACGGCAGAAGATATAGGAAGTTAGTTGTTGAATATATTCAATTAGTGAGCGATTCTCACAAAAAATAATGGTTGTCTTATTTCTTTTTTCTGTCCATAACTTTATTTTCAAAGGACCCCAATTTGATCACCTTGAGGTCTTTACCAATGTAATCAAAGACTGTGAAGTATATTAAATTGGTTTTCAGTGAGGTTTCACTGCTCATTGTCCTCCAGCAATCTTTCAGTTCATTGATAACAAGTTTCCCTTCCTTGAATGGCTTTTCCTGATACTCTCTGCATAGGTATTTCTTCATTCTTTAAACTTTGGCCTGTTGTTTATTAATGGGAATTTCCTCTGGATTTAAATTCTTATTTGGGCAGACTTGAATGTGTTTATTGTTACTATTCATTAGCTTTTTAGTCTCTGCAATTATATATGTGCACATTTATTTTTCACTAAACTATTTTATTAATGTGAAGAATAATGATGGTGGTCAGACTTTCTTTAGCATTCAAACATGATGCTTACAGTAATCAGTATTTTAATTTAAATGATATGAAATGGTAGAAGCTTTTTTTTTTTTTTTTTTTGGTTTTTCAAGTGAAGGTTTCTCTGCATAGCTTTGGAGCCTATCTTGGAACTTACTTGCCGCACCTGCTGCGCAACCTGAATCCAAGAATGTGGCCAGGGCGTTGGGAGTCGGTTGAGTTATGCTCCCCAAATCAGCTTAGGAGAACTTCCCAAGAAAAAAATGCTTCCCTCCAGAAAAACTTCTGACATCCATACATGCACAAATCTCCAACAGACCTCTCTCTTTCCTCCTGGCTGGTGGTTAAATCTCAAACAGCAGGGAGCAGAAAGAAAAAGCTAGCCATCCGGAAGATCAATGTCAGGGTGTTTCAGAGAGTGAGCCCTTATCAAGCCCTTATCAGGAACTATGGCATTGGATTGTTTTCAGTAAACATGTTTTCAGTAAACATTGTCTGGCAGCTGCCTTCTCCCAGGCTGATGGAGGAGTGGGTTTCCGGCCAGGGTCTGTGATCCCCACACTTACTCTGTACACAAGGCTGGCTTTGAACTCACAGAGATCTGCCTGCCTCTGCCTCTCTGGGATTAAAGGCATGCACCTCCACTGCCCTGCTGGTATTATGTTGTTGTCAGGGAAATACTTTGTCTTAATTTTTAATATCTATAGGTGTAACATGAATTTTGCAATGTATTATAACTATTGTCTTAGGGAGAGATTAAAATTTTATAAAAGCAAGTAAGGCTAACACCTGTTAGGAAAGACATAAGCTCACTAATCTCTAAATGTCAGCCTCCAGAGAGAATGACTTGGAAGGTGTTGCTGGGTCATAAATTGTGCATCCGAAGGGAAAGAGGGAAGGAGTTCTTTGAGGCAATGTGTATTTACTGACTTTAATGTCAGTGTCTCAGTATTAGTAAAAGTCCTCACCTCCTCTTCCCTGATCTGCATTAGCCATTTTCCCTTTTCACTGAGACAGAATACCTGACTAACACCTTCGAAGAAGAAGCTTGACTTCTGCTTATGGTTTCAGGGAAATTTCAGTCCATCCTAGAGGGAAATCAAGCAGAACAGCTGGGACTGTGTGCCAGTGCTATTCATGCTTTAATGGGTAGACAAGAGAGCAGACATAGTGGACAATTTTACCCAAGCATGCCCTACCTCGCAAAGACTCCAATTCCTCCAAAATGGCAAACTGAGTACCCAGTGTGGAAAGCACAGCCAGAATTATAATAAGGAAAACCGAAAATCAACATTAATCTGCTGATGACTATAAAATAAATCCAGTTAAGAAAACAAGAGCTACAGAGGAAAAGGGGACAAGATAAAATGACTTCCAAGCTGCTTAGTGGAGAAACTACTCTCAGTGGTCAGTTGAATTACAGATAAGATTAAATATATTAATTATCTTCTATTGTTATGAAGAGACCCCATGACCAATGCAAATCTAATAAAGCATTTAAGCAGGGGCTTGCAGTTCCAGGCATTACCATCATATAGGTGCAATAATGGAGCAGTATTCAAGAGTGAGCTTTACATCCTGATCTTGCAGCCAAAGGGAGGGAAAGCCTGTGACTGGCATAGGTTTTTATAACTTTAAAGTCGACTCCAGTGGGGGTCATTCTCATTCAAATCGCCAAACTGAAGACTCATTTAACTGGAAGTATTGATGACTCTGAAAGTGGAAGTTTCAGTGAAAGTTTGGATTGTAATCAGCTTTCAGTGAAGTAAGAAATCGTTAGATGGTATGGCATACTAAGAAGTAAGTGATGTGTACAGTGTGTTAAGGACAGTGGTGTATGACATATGTCTTGTCAAAAGGCAACTTCAAACAGCAATACAACTGACTGATCTGCCTGCTTTTTCTGTGTGTGTATTATACTCAGCAAATTTGAACAGTTTACAGTTAAACTTCCCCTCTTCTTACATACCCTTGTAAACTTTATAGTTCAAATGAACAGTGAGTTAAAACTAGAAGACCTCATTAGACTTAGACAACTTGTAAACACTTGAATAATAAAGGGAAAGAATCAGCCCACTGGAAATGCTTACAAAGAGGACATGGTATCATCAAAAAGTCAATTAGCCATAGAGTATGTACAAACTGCAGGAAGGTTGTAGCAGTTCATAGAAGTAGGGCCTTTGACAACCCAGGGAAAGAATGAAAGAATCCTTGAATAATTCTTTCTTCCTGGATAAAATATAGATTTAAATTTTATATTAGCTCAAAAATTTGTACTAAGTAGTTGTTCTGTTTTAGATCTAGAATAAGTGATATATTTAGACAACTATTATATCTTTTTTTGAATGTGATGTTTGAGCAAAAATATGAATATTCTGAGAGTGACTATGACATTATTTCCAGGGTGTCTTGCATAGTAACTTACATGCATTTTGCTGACAGGTACCTTGTAATTTATGTTTCACTAATACATTATGTACCTACACTTATTTCACACAGGTAACAAATACTGGGTGTTCAAGGACACAACTCTTCAACCAGGTTACCCTCATGACTTGATTACCCTTGGGAATGGAATTCCCCCCCACGGTATTGATTCTGCCATTTGGTGGGAAGATGTTGGCAAAACGTATTTCTTCAAAGGTGACAGGTCAGTAAATATGTGACACACTGAAGACACCACATACATTGGCAGTTACCTAGTGATTTCAAAAGTCAAGAACCCCTACTCAATGTTAGACATTACTATAAATAATGACATATTTATATATAAACACAAAAGTTAGTATGCCAGAAATATTGTCAGTGTGTTTCATATATTTAAGATAAATTTTCATTAACTACATACATCTAATATTACTCACTTATGAATTCACTATATTCTTCCTCTTCCCTTGATTTTTAACATGCATTTTAAGCTATAGCAAATATATGGGTAAATACATATATGCATTTGTATGTGTACCCCTGTTACACATTTTCTGTAACTAATTATTTTTGAAAGAAATAAGTGTTAACACGAATTTGTTTTTACATATATAGTTATTTTTCTATTTTGAATTATGACCATTTTTAAATAGTTTCGTTTTATTGCCAGTTCTGCAAAGTAGGACTAAGAGTAATTGTTTCAGTGATAAATTGCAGGATACTGAATTCCAGACTGAAATACAGCTATATCCAGAAGTTATTTCATATGGACCTGACCTTTCACCGTCTCATCATTCATGAACCTTGGTCTCATTATAATACTGTTGTACTGCTTTGTAGCACTTTTCAATATGAAAATGACCAAGGTCATTGGTTTATTTATAGCTTCTTATTCACTTCTCCCAAAAGAATAAAGTGCCATGGATTATAAGAGGAACCTTGGGGGTCTTTTTGACTCTAGTCACTTTAGTATTTAGGAACCATCATTTAGCATGTGCTAAAATTAATTTTTGAACAAACCAGTAAGTGCTTGATCAAGACAAATATGGCATCTTAAAATTACTGAAAATGAGTGAACTGTCTCATATTCATATTGTCTTCATTAAAAGGTAAAATTAGGTAAGCTTAGTGAAGTGGCTCATGCTTATAATTCTAGCATTGAGGAGGCTGAACAAAGATTTCAAGTTCAAAGTCTACCTAGGCCACATGGGCTGAACATTTCTCAAATCAAGTAAAACAACAACAAGGGAATGTGCTGTCAACCTGTGGGTTAGCTTTTATTAGTGGTAATTATCCTATTCTAATAAAGTCCTTCATCTATTCACTTTCATTCTGTGGGGTGTGGTCTCCTTTCCATGACTATACTTCACACATCTGTGATGGATCGCTTTGTTAGTGAGTCATTTAGAAATGTTTTAGGAAAGCCTTGACTTTCTAATGAGGAATTATAATGTATGGCATTGTGCAATAAAAATTAACCACATAAAGTTAGAAATGTAATGAATCTATAAATGGACATTCTTATCCATAGAAACCTAATTTGAGATCTTATAATGTCCTTTATAATCCTTTTAATATTGTGCAAATATGACCCTGTGGTTTTAAGATTTCTCCATGGAAATTCATAGCTTTCAAATCCCTTAACCTGTTTTATTTACAGTGTTAAGGAATGGATATGCCTTTTAGCTGTTAGTGAATCCAAAAATTCAGTCTTCAGGAGAAAAAAACAAACAAACAAAATGTTGACTTTTACATTGGTGTTGAAAATATTTAGGAAATTAAAATAGCTACTTGTGTTTATTAGTCCAGTAATTTTGTAAGATACTGTGAGCATTGTTGAACAGTTCAAATTCCATTGATTATTGTGAGGTATATATCAAAGCTGACATACAACAGAAAACCTAAGTTCACTTCCTCAAATATAAAATGATCTCAAATTCTACTTTCCATTCCTTGTGAGGAGAGGCAAAACCTATTTATTTTGACAAATTCACCCAGAATTCTTATATGTAGTTTCTAATAAAAATGTGTACTCCTTAAATGATTTCTTGAAATGTGATTTCTATGAATCTTCCATGGTCTGTGATAAAGGTGTTAGATGAATATTAATGGCTGAATGTTATAGGAATACTTAGGAGGAAGAAAAAAATCTCAAAAACAAAATGAACACCAGTACTTGTAGGAAACACAGATTAAAACTGGCCAGCGAAGTCATCATAGGAATGCTGTGTCTGTGAAATTACTTGCAGCAACATGATCCTACATCACATTGAACTATGAACTGAAGAGTTGCTTTAAACTTAACTTTTATATTATTAAAACAGAGCATAGATGACTTAGGTTCCAGTACTGTATCATTGATTCAACTGGGCGCCATAGCTGCTCTAACTATTGTTTGGACACTATCACAAGGGACTTAATTTACAGTATAAGGGGATAAGATTGAAGGATTTAAATGTAATAAAATTATATACTGTGTGTCTTCACTCTATAGGCATAATGCCCTGTATAAAATGTACATATTATTATATTGAGGGCTGTCTGAAAACTAATCTGATATCTAAGAATTTAATGATGTCATGCTATTCAAAGGATTTTAGATTTTCCTCATAATGCTAGCTTGACACTTTAAATTTACTTTACCTTAAAGTTATGTCATATACAAAAGAGTGCATGTGTGCTGTTCCATTATTTAATTTATCATTTAAAGGAAAACCCTGACAAAGAGGTTTAATCCTATACCAACTGCAAAGTGCTTTCTTACATCTGTAGATTCAATATTTGGGGGAAAATGTGTTCTCAGTATCCATGCTATTAAGTATTGCCTTATTTCCCTGCCATAAATTGTACTTGGTTCAGCACAGGAAGGAATTATATATTTCTTTAAATTCTCCTGAAATATTTACTCAAGGGTGATCTTTAGATTATGTCTAGGTTCATATCCTGTTTCTGTGATTTAAAAAAAATTCTCCGGCAAAAGTAGCTCAAAAGGGAGCTTATTTTGTCTAACAGTTCAATTGCCAATTCGTCATACAGGAGAAGTAAAGAGAACAGATGATTGAAGCAGCTGGACATACTGCATTCACAATAAAATACCAGAGAGCAAGCCTTTATAATTCTCAACTTGTAATCTTCACTTTATACAATACAGTGTCCCCTTCCTCAGAGAATGATCCCACACACAAACAACAATGAGTGTGATTTAGATAATAAGCATTAAGTAAGCCTGGAGGCCTAGCTGAAGTGACCAGCCAAGTTGAGAACTAACGTTAATCATTAGAGAGTATAAGTAGTTATGATCTCATCACCCAAATTTGTACAGTCCCGGATGGATCCTAACTCACGTGTGCTCTCTCAGTTCTGATCCCTCACAGCTGCTGTCTCCTGCTGTCTCTCTCCTGCTCTCTCAGTTGTTTGCTCCTCCTCTTATTTCTTGCCTCAAATATCAATTGTTTCACAAAGGACTTACTTCTAATATTTTATATGTTTACTGTATATCACTTTATGCCTTGCTCACTTCACAGCAGTTGCTAGCTCATATCATTTTATATTTTCCTCAATAATTTGATTTCTTTTATTTATAACCATGTATCTGAAACTCTAAGGTTGATAAAATCAAGTGCTTGTCTGTTCTGTTCAGGATTACATATCTTTATGACAATCAAGATTTAACCTCTATATGTGTCTTTCTGAGCATTCATAGGTATATATATGATTTTTGGTGGTTAGCTCATGAATTAAACTTTTACATAGATTGCTTTATGCTCTTATCATGATTATTAACTTGAAAAGTTTGGATACTCATTTCATCATATAAAGGATATGGATAATATTACAGTGCACAAAACAGAGAATAAGTTCTATGTCAGTTATCATTCCATTGATTTCAGTGTTTTAAGTCAGTAACAGGCGAATAAGCAAACAGCAAGCTTTAAAGAAAATATAAATACATGCATGAGTATTTCTTTTAATACAAGTATGGTTGTGTTCATCTAATTTTAGATATTGGAGATACAGTGAAGAAATGAAAACCATGGATCCTGGCTATCCCAAGCCCATCACCATCTGGAAGGGGATTCCTGAATCACCTCAGGGAGCTTTCGTCCACAAAGAAAATGGTACACAGCACAGGCAATCCTCAGTGCTTGAGTTTTGTATTTTAATATCATACAGTTTTATGTTAAATCAAATAATTAGAACATGGCATGCTAGAACTATGCATCATTTATATTCATATTTACAATTTCAATTAAAAATTTTTAAAGAATTTACATTTAATATTACTCTCTGGACAGTTTGAAAATTAATTCATTTACATTTATTTAAATCTATTAGAAGAAAATGTAAGTAATAGTTTACTGTTGAGGAATGCATATTCTTAATAACATATATACATATATATATGTATTAAAATTCTGAAAATACAACAAATGTGGGTGGTACAGAAATTTGTCTCAAAGCCTCTGTCCTGAGTCAGCCAACTACAATGGCACATTCTTCTAATCTATGATTAGAGGAAGACGTCCTCAATACAGTCAGACTAGAATTAATGGATGGATATCAACATATAAGCCCTACACATTATTTTTAATATCATAAAGCAAAGAAGACAGAACATTAAAATGATTTTTCTATGTTACTCTTCAACCACTGTCAAAATTCTGCTGTTACAAATCCACTCCTAATGTGATTTATTTTAATCCAAAAACAAAATTTTAATCTTTTTCCCATTTTGTTTCTATGAGAAACATGTCACTTCTAATATCTTAGTATTATTTTAATTCTTCCTTATCAGCCATGAAATATTCCTGGTGCCATAAGAATGCTTCCTTTGTATAAAATATAGTTCATAAATTAATTTAATTTTCCAACCAAAAGGCCTTTTTACCCATACTCAGCTGAGTTAAACAGCTTAGTGTTGAAATATTATAAATATTCCTAAAACTTTATACAAAAGAATTTAACATTATTGAATGTGGTCTAACAAACTCTCTACAAGGAAAATAAGTTGAAAGTTTTCCTCACTACATTGATGTAATCAGTGGCCTGTTGTATCTTTCTAAATTCCTTACTTGGTTCAAACTAAGCAAGTGCTAAATCTAGCTTCCTAAGCAATCATGCTATTAATTTAAGCACTAACTATTGTGTTTCTTCTTTCTTTTGTTGTAATTATTGCTTCTTTTCCTCTTTACTCTTATCCTGGTCTAAGTAGCTGCAGTAATCCAAATTCCATTTGTTCATATCACCTAAAGTTGAATGATCTCCTCTTAGCCCTCATTCTTCAACTTTTTAAAAAAAGCTTGATAGATTTTTAATTATCCTAAAATTATGGCAGAAAATTAACCTCTCCTACATTCTACACTACTGAAATATTTTATTTATTTTTGCAATTTTAGTATAAGCAAATACAAACTGCTTTTCATATTTGTGTCTCAGTTTACTGTTTGCAGCCTTGTGATTAATTGTTAACAGAGTTCTGTCTCATGGTTTTATTGATTGTATGTATTAACTATACAATTCACTACTCCCTCTTAAAATTTCCAAATGCAATTTGCATATGTCTTTTGTAAGAATCATTCTATCCATTAATTTGTTTTAGCATTAATTAATATCATCAACAAACTAGAAAGGGGAGAGAATAGAACACATGGTCTAACCTAGGAATATTGCACCAAGGTGGACTATTTTGTTACTTTAAGAGGACAAAACGGTACGAAATGATCCAATACCATCAAAACAAACGTAAATGAAAACAATATATTGCCTTGCATTTTCATTGATTTATTTCTTAAAAGTTTTCCTCATAAGAAACATAACACAGGAATAGAACAGCAAAACTATTTTTGTGGGTGAAAGAGCTGAAAATTTATTCAACTGGTATTTCATAAGTGAAGATAATAAGCCCAAATTATCACAGATGATTACAGCAGAAATAAAATTTGACATATGTCTGTTGCAAAGATTTTAGACTACGTCTTTTAGTCCTACTGACCAGCTTTATTATTCTAACCAATACATTAAGTAAATATAAATTCTATTCCCATGCTTGGAAATTTTATTGTAAAATTGAAATTGTAGACTGGAATCTTCTGAACCTTGCTGTGCTGTTCATTACCCTTGTGGTAATTATTCAGTGCTAAAAATTAAAGATAAGGACATTTATAGCTATTACAGTCCCATTTATAGCCATTAGCAGTACTTTCATCTAATTTGAAGATCTAATTAGAAAGCAATGACATTCTTCAACTGTGATCATGTCATAGTCTGTTTGACAGTTCCTCAGCATTTCTCATCTAAACTTGATAAATAAGTAAACTTGATAAATAAGTAAACTATGACTGAATAACTCATCTTCAAAGTTAAAAGCCACAGCAAAAATTTACAGCATTGAACAAAATAATTTCCAATATAAAGCAACCAATGAGGACCTATCTGTCATACATAAAATTTCTTGAGTTTGCAATATTCTTTATTCCAGGAGTGATGCCTATGTGACAAGTGGTGTTTAAGAAGCAAAGTCATGTACTAGAGCTCTATATATGGAAAGGTGTTTAAGTCTTATTTGGTCATAATCGTATGTATTTGCCTCTGATTCCCAATATAGCTCAAAAAATAAGAATAGGAAGTTAATTCTTCTTAATAGTGGAGCAGTTATGAAAGATAAAAGCAGTGCTTTTAACAATGAAGTCTTTCATAGTAGCAGCATACAGTAACAGTCATAACTTTGAACTGTTAAGCTGTAACATTCTGTTCAAAATAGCTAACTCCCAAAATATATATTTTAAATTGCTTGAGTATTTTTCTGAATTTGTTATTGCTATTGCTGTTGCTGTTTTGTTTTGTTTGTTTGCTTGTTTTAATTTTTGTGGTTTTACCTAAAAACAAAACCAAATCTAAGGTAATACAATCAGAAACTTCACTGACTAGACATATTAATATATTGGAAAATATATCTAAGAAAATCTACAAGTTTATGTGTTAGGAACTTTAGAATGTCTGTTATTTTTAACCATAACATTTTGGATCCCAGATTACTGAATTATTTAAAACTTCCTATATCAACTCTTCATAGATTAATTAGAAATATCACTCGAATATATTAAGACAAAATTGTGATTTGTTTTCTCTTTATTTCTAAAACAGTTAATAGTGAATTTTAAAAATTCCATAAGGTGTCCATATGTAGCACAAATTTAGGATAAAATAAATAGATATGATAAATGAAGACAAAAAATTAAGAAAGGACAAAGTAGGAATGACCTACAGCCCAAAATTAGGTTAGTGCACAACATGCTATAAATACATGTTTGCTTGTTAAAATTTCAAATAGACATAAGGAAACACCTAATTGTCGAAATGTTTTATCCAAATATCAAGAAGGAATCTCATGTTGAGGAAGATCACAAAAAAATCCCAGTGCTGAGATATTGAGAACTTGCCCTGACTTGTGAATAGGTGGGAAACTTCTTTATTGTGCGTTGAACAATCTCCTCAGTAGCACTTTGAGGATCAGCAATGGTTTACTTTTTCAAGCAATTCAAAATTCTCAGATAAATGTTAATATCCTGATTTTGATGTGAATTATGTGATAGTATTTCTGTAAACCAGAAAAAAAGATGTCAGCCTCTTTACAATCCACAATAGGAATGGATGTAGATAAACTGCCACCCATATATTTCAGTCACAGAATTCTCAGACTTTAGAGCATATGTGCCAGGCTTGCAACCCAAGCATTGGTGAGGCTGAGGCAAGCGAAATAATTGTCCTATGTTTGAGGTCATCCTGTTCTCTATAGAGAGTGCTAGACCAGCATAAGTGCCAGACTTAGACTCTTTCTCAAACAGGGAGAGACACTTGGAGGGAGGGAGGGAAGAAGGCTGGAAAGAAAGGAAGAAGGGTAGGAGCGGGGAAGGGGGAGGGAGGTAGGAGGGAGGGAAGGGGATAACGGAGAGGAAAGAAGGATGGAAGGAAGGAAGGAAGAGAGAGAGAGAGAAGGCATAACTCCTGGAATGCAGCACCCAGAGCCTTTGTAATACAGTTGAACTGAGGATTGTGTATTCTTCCCTGAGAACTTAAGATCCTAAAACATGTGTTTTGAGAAGTAGTCTATTTCATTATTATTTATTATTTTATATACATGATCACAAATAAGTAGTCCCTGTGTATGTATGTTTCTCCCCCAGGATTTACCTATTTCTACAAAGGAAAGGAGTATTGGAAATTCAACAACCAAATACTAAAAGTAGAACCTGGGTATCCGAGATCCATCCTCAAGGATTTTATGGGCTGTGATGGACCAACAGACCGAGATAAAGAAGGACTCAGCCCACCAGATGATGTAGACATTGTCATCAAATTGGACAACACAGCCAGCACTGTGAAAGCCATAGCTATTGTCATTCCCTGCATCTTGGCCTTATGCCTCCTTGTATTGGTTTACACTGTGTTCCAGTTCAAGAGGAAAGGAACACCCCGCCACATACTGTACTGTAAACGCTCTATGCAAGAGTGGGTGTGATGTAGGGATTTCTTTTTCCTTTCTTTTCCAGGAGTTTGTGGTAACTTGAGATTCAAGACAAGAGCTGTTATGCTGTTTCCTAGCTAGGAGCAGGCTTGTGGCAGCCTGATTCGGGGCTGACCTTCCAAACCTAGAGAGTTGCTGGTCCTGCACATGAGTGGAAATACATTCATGGAGAAGCTTCCATGATGCACAGTACCTGCTGTTCTTCAGTCCTCTGTCTTTCTTTGTCATTCAGTTGTAGGCCTTTCCTCTGCACGCGCAATGCCCAGTCAAATTTCAGGATTAACTGAAGAAGAGGAAATACAGAAGAAAAGTTTCTTCTGAATTTTTTAAAAATACTTTTCCTTCTGAAATCTGAGCCCATTTCTGGGAGAAAGAGAGAGACAGAAAGAGAGAGAGAAAGAGTAAGCAAAAAGAGCAAATCAGAAAACCCCATAGGTTTTTGCTTTAAAGCAAAAGGAGAAAGAGTTTTAAAAAAAACAACAAAAATCCACAATTGAACTTTCAGGAAAGTGTGAAGACCCAAAACAGCTTTGTCTCCAAAGAAGATAGCTCTGTGACCACTATGGATAGTCTCCTGCACATCGTTTTTTCAGGTGGGAGATCTGGAAGAGACATGCAGGACTCTAGACTGTTGGGACAGCCATTTTCCAACAAACAAGGGGCCAAAATATCTGCAATATAGTAACAGCCTTAATAATACATGCATTTTTCGTTTTCTACAGATGTTCTCAGCTATGTCCACAACGTTTCATCACCTTCATACTCATAGGTGTTTTCAAACAGGACCTTTTGATTGTTTTGAAGTGTTTCCAAACCCCCTCTTGACTCCTGACCTAACATCATTGTGATGCTCTCCCAGTTGTGTTAGGCCTTTGTCCCAGGCCTTCTGTTGGTCTGTCAGCAATACTCAGCAGAAAGCAGAGCAAGAAGCAGTGTGTCTCTGAACTACTGAAGTGATGGTCATTTTATAAAAGACATGTGACTCTGTTCGTACATCAGTGTAACCCTTTGAGAACTATAAGACCAGGCTACAGAGTCAGGGTGATCAGTCATGCGGTCTGGTCATTGGTAGAGCTGGCCAACAGTGGAAGCCATCACAGATTTAACAAGTTCAGATTTGTAAAGCATATCTTAAATCCCATGTAATTATTTTATGACTGACAGCAACCTATAAATGCTTTTATAATAAACAACAATGATGTGACTTGCCAAAATTTTTCTGGCAAATAAAAAAAGATATTTTGCTAACAGTATCTTATGAGAGTGAAATTTTATTTGAATAATTGGTTAGAATATCCTGTCTTTTCTTCTTCCGACATATTGAATTTTTTTAATTTAAAATCCATTGCATGAAAATTCAATTTGCCATAAAATATGCAGTTAGCATTGTGGGGTTAAAAAGAATTAAAACACTGACTCTGAGTTTGCATGAATATCTTTCAATGCATTACCAATTGCATGTCAGCCATAGTTCTCAAAGGGTTGGTGTGGCTTCTGGCATTTAGCCATCCATTTGATCACTGACAGAGCCAAGAGACACCAAAGCATTCCATTGTTGAGTGTAATTTGTCCTAACAGCAGTATTGTCATTTTCATGTGACCTGCAGAGCAGGTTTGTATCAATATTTTTTTCCTAGAGAAAAGTCAGCAACTGACAGACCTCTATTGATTTTAGGAGCTGCTTCTTGCAGTGAAATGCTTTACAGCCACTGGGCTGTGAACTTATTAGAGATGGTCAGAAGGAAAGCACCCCATGAGTCAGACAATTGGCTTTGTGTGGAAGCCAGCTTTTGAGGGGATTAGCTTTTGAAACAATGAACAGCTTGCCTTGAACTTGATATTGATCTGTTGACTGTCATTAACAGCAACTTAAACATTGTCTTCTGTGAAAATTTTCCCTGAAGAGTCCTATTCTGTGTCTTTGCCCTTTGACCTTTAACTTGCAAACTGGCACAAACTGAAGGAAATCTGGTGTCATTTCTCCATTGGATTGCTATTCTCTAAAGCCTAGTAAGCAAGGGCTGTTTCCTTAGAGTGGAGAGAGTTTGGGTATTGGAACCGGAGGTGGATGCCTTGCCCTCTACATGCACACTCTGAATATGCCCTGTAGGTAGAGGTAGTTTTTATTTTTTTCTTTAATTTCAAACTTAATTTCATCATTTTAGTAAAAATTACAAAAAACATAGGAAAAAAAAACCTCAAATACTTGAATGGCCAGTGTGGCTTTTATATGAAGCAGGAATTTTATACTAGTGAAAATTTCTTACTCATTTGCTAATAATACACATTTCCAGATGATTTTTAATGAGTGTAGGTATACATTCTTATTTGGAAATGTATAGTTTGGCTGCCTTGAATTTATATTTATACTCAACATAGCATGAAAGTTAGAATGCCTTTTGGTTAAACTACATGTTTATGATTTGGTTGGGGAAAACATTTTCTAATCATGGGTGGCATGCTGAAAAGCCTTGCAAGCTGGTGTTTCGTACAATCTGAGCATATATCATGTAAGGCTAAGATAAAAAGAACAGTTAAGAAAGAGGAATGGCTTTGTAGCACCACATTATGAATTGCAGATTATACTTAACGGGACATCAAAGATTTGGAATGGGAGGGTCAGTAAGAAAGGGGAGGGCAAGGATCAGCCCTGTACCTCTACTTCAAAACTTCCTTTCTAGATGATGCTAATAGTATAGTTAGTTCCTACAGAGCATGGAGGACTGTATGCATAAGCCTGTTTATACAGTGTTTGCTTGTTAGAGGGTTAATTCTTTCAGGACCTTGATGTCAAGAAAAAATGACTGGAAACGTTTCTCTAATGATAGAAATGAGGAACTGTAACATTTTAGGACATGTGTAAATCATTGAGAAACTCCATCAACGTACAATGAACACTTTTCTGTCTAAAATCAAAAAGAAATCAAATAAGCAATCTATTGCCTCTTTACTCATTCATCACAGTACCTTGATTCGTCATGAGACTGTAAGTACCTAAGGGCTAGATAATAATTATAGCATTGAAAAGGAATCTTCTTAATGCTTGAATTATGGCAAGCATCATGGATATGATTTGTATTGTGTTGCCTTGAATGTGAGAAGTCTATGTACTTCAAGAAAAGGCTTATATGTCTACTACCTTGACTAGGACACTTATAAGATCATAAGTGGTAAGAGCTACATACAATGTAATAAAAACCACTGGGGTACCTTTGTTCATTGTATGCCAGGCATTTCATTCATATGGTTCCTGATTCTTCTTACATTTGGGATTTTTAATAGTGAAAAGAAAAAAAATGTGACAATGCTAAAGAAAGTATGAGAATGATTTATTAATCTGTCATATGAAAATAGCAATTAAAAATTAAAAAATAAGTTCTCTGGATGAAGAACATGTCAGCTCAATTTCAGTGAAGATATGCAACAGATCAAGTTACTTTCTGTCATCTCTAAATGAGTAACATGAAAGCTTAGACCTACTATGTCCAAAACAGAAGTGAAAACATATTCATGTTCATAAAATAATTTATGTTTGACTATTTTTATTAATTTACCAAATATTAAAGACAGCTGTCATCAAGGTGATGGTTTTACATAAAATGAATTTATAGTTTACAATTTCAGATACATATTGTTTCTCTATCTGTCACTAATCAGACTAAGTGAAATATTAAGATAGGTGATCAGTTTGAATTTTCTATAACACAGTAGTTCTGCATCAGTTATGTAGAGAAAGTTACGACTTTAGGTACCTGCTAATCCATCTGAGAAACAAGTTTTCTGCAGAGACCGCGGCCACAGCAGATAAAGACACATGTTCACTGACATGGCAGAGGTTACAGAGCTCAATTAGACAACATTAGCAAACTATAGCAAATATAGTTTCTGTTACTAATCAGAGAGCAAGGCCTTTCTCAAGCAAATGTAATAAATTACTATGTAATAATCACTAAAAGCAATTACTAAGTATTAAAAGAACAGAGACAGGTTACTGAAATAAGAAAATGTTACCTTTGTTATTTGAGCTGCCTACAATCTCTTTTTATCAACACATAATTTGGCTCTCCAAATACTGTACATTTTTATTTCATTTATGTGAATGATTACAGTGCAATGTAGTGAATAAGAACATTGTCCAGATTCTACTGCTTGCTTGCTGTCATATCTGAATGGGGGTGTATATACTGAAACCTAGGAAGAGTAATGTAATATTCTCAAGTTTTCCATGTTGGGGTGATATCTCTAATATGGCATAAATTCAGATTCCTGTTATGTGAACCTTACAACTGAGTAACTGGTACACCCATGTTAATTGAACTCAATGTGCTATCTGAAGAAGAATAGACGTTATACTTGAATAGACATGTTAAACAATAGTTATGAAAATAACCAATTTTTTAGGTAATTGGTATTTATTTACAGAAACAAATAAAGGCAGTTATTTGCTGATAGTTTTGAGTCTGTGAGATTGTAGTATATAGTGTAATAAGCCTGGGGATGGTGAGCAAATGTTTACAGTAATCACATCAAAATGTTTAATTTTTGACATCTTGAGAGCATATTCCAAAATATCATAGACACAATGTACCATTTAAATCACAAGTGTGACATTCAGATGGCCTACTGCAAAGAACTATAAATGCAGTCTTCACTAATTTATGTAGCACAGAAGTGTTCAAGCGACTCTTGTGGTAAAATCCAGTCATTCCTTCCAATGGCATTCACCTCCACAATACTGATGAACAACAACCATAGGTAACACGTGCCAGAGTTTAATGACAGGTTTCTTGTTGCCTAAATAAAAACAAAGCTATGATGTAATGTTGTAACAAGCACCTTTGAAAGCCTGAACTTAGTATATGAATGCTACATTTTATAAGTAGAATGGGCAGTGGAGAAGGACAAAACCAGACTTTTGTAAAATATAAAGTCATACTCAAGTCATTCTCTGTAATATTATAACTGGAAGTTTTCCTTTATCAAGAACAAAAAATAATAGAGAAAAATGAAACTTCAAGCTCTTCACAACAGTGATTAGCATGTTATTTAATATCAATGTATATACTTAGTCAGTGCTCATTAGATGACACCCATGAAAATGCATCAAATACTCATCCATTGCCTCATAGACCCAAAATGGTAAAAGTATGCATTCTGTAACCCCAGTCAGAGAAACGTTAGAACTCTGTGAGAAAAGCCATTTCTCTAGGATAGAAATTTACCTCAGTAATCATATAACACAAAACACTTGGCATAGTAGCAAAAGTTGCCTTAGTGTTCTAGTCTGATCTAATTGTAGACTTTGTCTATAATGCACCACTCCCATCTTTTCTCATGTCTTTATATCAGTCTAAGTTTGAGTTGATTTTGAAATATTTCAGGTCAAATGAATAACATCAAATTATCTATATCTCCTTCAACATGTCTACTGAAATATATTTCAATAGTATAGAAAGCCTAGAATGAATACTGACTTGACATAGTCACAGAAATTCATAGGAAATAACTTGTGAATTTTCATAATCCCCACCTATTTTTCTGGTAGGATCCAGATGTAGCAGCTTCAGTGTCTGAACATGGCTATGAACTGATGACAGAACATGACATACATCATTTCTTTAGAATAATCAATTATTTATAGTAAGTAGTGATACAAAACTATGAGAAGTTTAATGATGTAATGAAGGCTTCACAGGCATTTGTAGTGAAATCTGCTTTAAGAAAATGGGGCAAAATCAGTACCTCTGATCAGTACATCGTAAGCATAAGAAGCTATAGATGGAGGACATTTATATATGGATAGAGCTGAGATTCTATGCCTTTCAACTAAAAAAGCGATGTGATTTGGATTTTTATTGTATTAACATAAAACTAGATATATTAATCAGATGTGTGCCCTATGTGTCCTTCCATGAAAGTACACACTGGGCTGTGCAGGATAACATGTCCCAAGCTGGAGTGTTGGGCTGATTCACTTGACATTGCCATGTGCTCTGCTACAGAGCTAGAATTTTATACCCTTAAGAAGGGAAGAAATTATCAAATAGTATAACTCTTTCCTATTATGTCACTTAGCTTCAGAGTAAGATATCACTAACTTTTATTTCACTGAGAAAATAGAAAGAATGGTAAGCAAACAAAACAAAATTGTAGCTAACAAAGATATTTTCTGCAGTTTCTTTCACCTGCTCATATTTTTCCATATATGAGTTGTGTATGAACCTCTTTCTATCACTTGATGTGTAGCCAGATTGGATTTCAATCATAGCATTTTTAACACAGGCCTTTGATACTTGCCTCATATATTATGTAGCTTTGGTGAGGTGTGACAGGAAAGGTTGTTTTTCCCTACGATAGGTTATGGTGCTTTCCATGTTTATGTGAACGTGTGTTACTATGTTGGCCTGTCTTACCAGGATACTGATGAATAAAAGCCTTTTGTACACTGTCATTTGAAGTGACTAGAATGCATGTTTGCTGCCATGCAATACCAATTGGATCTCATTCCTTATCTATAGAACAATAGCCTACTTGTTACCATAAAACATACCTTGAATGACTGGTTTCTGTAGTAAAAGAAGGGTTATATAATACAAGGGTTATCGAACATATTTTTTTTTCTACTCTGAAATAACATCATCTCATGTCTTGCTCTTTCTGAATCCAATTTCCTAAGTAAAATTAGGAATTTATGCTGGATAGATATTCCTTCTTTTATATATAACACGAAATCCATTATTCCTTTTTCTACTCATGGATACACATTTTCACAGTCAGCCCAACATGGATCGTAATCAAGAGTGAATGATCATCAACATTTCCCATGCCTGCCCATTCTCTGATCATTATTTGATTCTTCTCGGTCACCAACTTCTCCACCCCAATTTTTTAAATCTGATTTTATGTCCTTTGTCTTTATGAAACCAGAATTTAGCAGCACATAGGTGGAACCCTGGAAATGTTTGGCTTTTTTCCTCAGAATTTTCCATCGTAAGTTACATGGAAAACATAGTCCTTATCACAACCTAAATTCTCTTATTGGCTTATATTTGTATAGAGCTCTTCCCCTGAAAAAAAAAAAGATAAATGCTGAGAATAATTGCTGTGGTCTATTGATAAGACAGAATGAAAAGTTATTTTTGGAGATTATATCAAATATAAATAAACAGTACCGTTAATACCACAATGTAGTGTTTAAGTCCATCAAAAGGGAATTAATGCCTACAGTCTTGAATCTTTGGGATAGTTTCCCTTAGAGGTAAATTACATATATAAGAAAGAGATAGAAAAAAGAATATTGTATGTCACAGCAGTGTGTTCTGCTGCATTAGTTTTGTCTGTATCAGCATTGCTATGGTGGACCTCTATTTTCAGGGGATTTAGAGACTTGACCATTAAAAATTGCTACAAGCATAAAAGTCTTTAAAGATGTTTTTCTTACATGTATCTAATTTCAATCAAATATATTTTGGCTTTATATTATGGAAAGTAAATGAATGGAGTTTAGCAGTTCAATTTTGTGCTAATATAAAATTCTAATAAGCTTAATTTTTAATAAAAAATAAAATATAATCAGTTCATAGTCTAATTATTCAAACAAATTGTTGACATTAAGAAATTTGCCTGCTTGAACAGTGTGGTGTATATCATCAAGATGTTTTAAGACTTTGATATGTGTTGTTATCTTGATTCCAATAGTGGATCAATATAGTTGACAGTGAATATAGATATGTGATATCTATATAAGCTATCTGGTAACATATATTTGGGAATATATAGTATATGATATACATGTGTGTGTATATACATATATATTCATTAGACAGATTAAGATAAAAACCTCCCATCAATTAATAAATAAAAACTGTATATTTTTTAATATTTGCACATATATTTACCTTTCCGATACCAAATGAGATACAAACAATTGCAGAGGGAATTTGTCTCCTGGATAAAAAATATCATTTTATATCTTCCTATGAAAATCATCATTTACTTATATAATGTGGATATTAGGAATTAAAACATGAAAAGTGAAACAGACCTTATTAAACAATAGACTGTGAAGCAGAAAGAAAGGCTAGGAAATTAGGATTTGAGATGGTTGTCTTGTGGTTGTCTGTACCTTATCATTTATTTTATTCATTCCAATATTTTTAGTTACAGAGTATGAAGATATAACTCTGAGTTCTTTTCATCTTACATTGTACTCTATATTATCTTACTAATGTTATGATAACTTGTATGTTTCCACGTAGAAGGCATGAAATGACACATTTATTTTCTCAGTGGATATTAAGGATTGAATGTTATGAATTTGATCGTAAAGAATTATATACATTTATTCCATCTTAAATTTGGCATATATATTTTTTCTTATTGCTTCTACTGACAAACACAAAGCTTGTTTGTGTGCAAATAAAAGGCTACATACATGGTGCTAAAGTGTATTATGACTGTCAGATATAATCAGGCAAAATTTTGTGGTGCTTCCATTAATTTTTCATTGATTTTATTGACCAGTGTGTTGAACAGTGTTTATTCACAGATTATCTTTTATTAGTAAAATTAAGGCTTCATAGCACATTGCTATTATCTCCTTGACTCCTTATAATGAGGTCTCATTAAAGGTCAAGGGTCATGCTATTAATCTCATTCTATAGATCAGTAACATGACTGAACGTTTTCACAAGGTACTTATGTTTACAATGCTATAACCCTTTGACTGCTGTGGCAATCTTAACCATACAAATGTCACAAGCTAGAATAATCAGCATGGTTTGTGCCATGACAATCAAAGAGTTAAGGGCTGTGCAGTTATTTGTTTTGTATTTATTAATTTATATTTATTTCACTTCCATTCAAGAAGGGTTTTGGGTGGGGCAGTGTTTTGTCTGCTGTAAGTGTCTTAACCTAGGAAAAGGTTAAATGGCTTTTTATACTGTTGCATCTTCTGTATTTACCATCAATTCATTGTGTTGTAATTTTAAAAAATGTCAATAAATAAGAAAACCGAAAAATGGTTCATAGACATTGTGGTTTTAGTCATGATTTGCTTCCATTGATGACCAGCATGTAGAACATGATCTATAGCATCGTCATTTACTGTCTTTGGCTTCCTAATTAAGAAACAGGAATTCAAAATGCTTTGTTAATATGGAGAAATGTTTCTTTTGTGTTTTCCTGAAGTAGCAAGTATGTTTAACTAGCTCTATCAGTTTGAGAATTGCTTAACAACTAACTATACAGTTGTGTTCAAGGAGAGGAGTCGAAAATACTATGGTACCACATGTATGCCAGGGATTTTATTATGAGCAGAGATATGGCTTTTTATGAGAGTCGGGAAATATGAAAAATAACTATTCAGAAAAGTAAGTATACGGTATAACTTCAAGTTGTATGCCAATCCTGATTAAGTAAATCTTATTAAATTTTGTTTTATGTTTTATATTGAGTCTCTTAAAAACTGTGTTTGCAGAGCCCTCCCTTTTCTTGTTGGTGCTGGGATCAGAATCAAGGACTGCTCATGATCAGAATTCACTCAGTGTTCTTTCTTCTTATAATATTAACATAATAAGTAATTGTATTAGATTAAAGAAAGGCTAGTAATGGAGAAGTAACTTCCGGAAGTAAAGCTAAGAATAAACCCTTTAGTATTTAACATTTGAATGAATTACAAAATCAGCTAAATACCCTTCAGAAAATAGTTAATAGCTGAATTTTTTTGTTTTGCTTTTTCAAGACAAGGTTTCTCTGTATTGTTTTGGAGGCTGTCCTGGAACTCTCTCTGTAGACCAGGTTGGTCTCGAACTCACAGAGATCCGCTTGCCTCTGCCTCCCAAGTGCTGGGGTTGAAGGCAGGTGCCACCAATGAATGCCAGGCTTAATAGCTCTATTTTAAAATGCTGAACTAAGCATTTTCTGAAAATCAGTTCTAGCATGTATCAATAGCTTCAAATTCTAAAGGCCATATGCATAATAACAAATAACAAATTTTACAAGGAATAACATTTTATTGGGAGTAAAGTAAAAAGAGATTCACTCATACAAAAATCTGTCTACCATGTGCCAAGTAATTAATCGTATCCATACATACAAACACATAGAGGGAGAAAATGAGAAAGGAAGGGAGAGGTGACAAACATTCCAAGATTGGTCTTGAATTCTAAATCCCGCTCTCTTAGCCTCCTGCTATTGGGCTTATACTCATTTACCACCATGATCAGCCGAATTTTTTGCATTTTAATGCACATGTAAACAAGGATCTTTAGACAAATGAACTAGAATGGTCATGGGAGATAACTGCCTATGTAGTCAAAAAGTTCATGAGACAAAGATGTTTCTGTTATGTTGCTGAGCCTTTGTCCTAGTGCAAGTCCAGATGATTATCAAAAGTTTCAGTAGAAGAGCTGCAGAAAAAATTGTATCCATAGGTACTGTTCAGGTACTAAATTGTTGCTGGTATTTTCTCTTCGTGCCAGGTCTTGCCACCCTTCTCAGTCCCAAATAAGCACACAGAGACATATTAATTATATAACTCTTGACTCGTGGCTAGGGTTTATTACTGACTAGTGCTCTTTTAATTATTTAACCCATTTCTTTTTTTTTTTTTGGTTTTTATGAGACAGGGTTTCTCTGTATTGTTTTAGAAGTAACATGTTTAGAATAGCTATCATTTTACTATACATGTATGAGAATGACAACATACACCAATGAAAACTCTTTTTTTTATGAGACAGGGTTTCTCTGTATTGTTTTGGAGGCTATTGGTCCAGCTCGGCCTCGAACTCACAGAGATCCGCCTGCCTCTGCCTCCTGAATGCTGGGAATAAGGCATGCACCAACACCGCCCGGAAGGCCTATTTCTTTTAAAGTATGTGAAATTTTTATCCTTAAAATGGCTATTTTTTGCTTCCTACCCCCTTTGGGTTACTCACTGTATTTAAGACTAATAATTTCATTTCCACAAGTACTTTCTGTAGACATTTCCAGGGTAGTAGTGTAAGCCTACTCATATTACATACCTCTTCTACCCTCAGAGCTCACTGCCATACTGGTTCATAGTCAATCTTCCATCTTCTTGCCTATCTCGATTTTTCATTCCCAGCTTGCCTTGCATCTTGGAAGGAGAGTGTTCATGAATGTGGAGATGTGTCCTTCTCTAATTTTTCCTCTTCATCTCTTCACACAAGATCTCTGTTTGAGCCCATTGTTATGCCAGTAATCAATGGCTTTAGCAACCCCCCTACTCACAATATAGCTCAACCCAACTTTTGACTTGTGTGTGGAAGATCTGAGCTCAGGTCCTCAGTTGTGCCCAGCAAGAGCTCTAACTCACTAAGCTTTCTCCCTAGCCCCAAGAACAAAGATTTTATATAAGTACTCTCTAAAATTTATTCTCTACTTCTCTTTCAAAATTTTCTATCACTAAACTTTGTTGTACCTGAAACCTTCTTGATATTTGCCATTTTCTGTGTGTTGACTTTGTATTTATAATGCATTTGCAGCCACTTTGAATTCTAATTTCACTGTCATTATTTTTCCTAAGTAGATAAAATCCATGTACCTTTGAATTTCCATTGTATTTCTCCTAGGGCAATCATAGGATAATTAATATTGCAGCCTTCTCACTTCAAATGTTTTCGGTGATATAATACACTGTATGACCATAGTCTTATGCAAAATTTGGCCAAGGATTAGTTTGTATGTGAACTTATTTATATTGCTCTTTGATAACATCTGCTCCATAGAAACTGTGCCATCCACACTGTGATGATTTACTTTCTGTTTTGCTCCTGCTGCAGCATCCATTGCAAGGGACTGTTTGAAAGGAAGAGCTTCAGAAACATGTGTTGCACTAAGTCAAATAACATTCTTAAAATAATAATTGCAGGAATTTTATTTGGCTTTGCTATACATTCTCTAATCCACCTGAATAATTTTATGAATAAAGACATTTAACTAACTTGTTTCTGATGTAAAGTACCTAAGTACTTGACCTTGTTTCTCTCGAAAGCTTTGTTTTCTAACACTCCTAAAATGTTTCCTATTAAGACATAAGGTAAGCCTGTAATTTAAGCTAAATCTTACATGTCTCTCTTACTTCTATTTGTCACACTTTAAGAATGGGAATGTTTTCAGTTTTTGTGTTCTGGTGAAGTTAGAATACCTGTGCTTTGGAGGTGTCCATGGTAATGTAAATATAAGAACAATATCCAAAAAAGTAAATCATCCTTACTCAAATAAATGCATAGGCATCAAAGAAGTGGTTACTAGCTTACTTAATATGATGTCGCAGAGGAGTGTCAGCTACAATGGGGAACTAGCAGGTACTTTTTAGGTCATTTTGCCTATTAAGATGGAAATGCACTCCAAATCATTGTGGGAATGGGACAAGATATCAAATACTTTGTTTGATCTGAAAGCAACTAGGATGTTGTTGACAGAGTTGCTCAGAAATAAAAAAAGAAGTCAAGTCAGGAAAAAATAGAACACATAAAGAGCTCAAAGACAAGAAAAGAAATTGTTTTAGAAATTGTTACTTTGAACAGGTCTTGAGCTACTAGACTTACAGTTGCTGTTCTCTGTGAAGATGTTATTGATTTTAGTTGGTGTGTGTCATACTGCAAAAACTTTAGGTCACATGGTGGATCAAACATAGGAACATAATTTCCTGACCTTCACAGCCTTCTTAAACCTCAGAAAGTAGATTTTTTTTCAAATTCCTAAGAAATGAGAGTACAAGAAAGGTGAAAATTGCATTATTTTGGGATTAGGGAGAAAGCAGAAATACAACAACTAGATTAATACACCAATGAAACTTGAATGCTAAACAAGCAGAGAATGGGTTTCCCTGGAAGTAGGGAAAAGGCAGTTGACTAAATTCAAACAAAAAAGCATCCTGCTTCTAGGGAACTATTCTCTGTTGCCGAAAAGGCTGCTTTCTTCCGTGGAAAGAGTCAAATTCTGAACTGAAGAATGTGAGAGTTCTATACCAAGATGGAGAGAAAACGAATCTCTTCCTTCATCTCACCACAGGCAGCTCAGCACAGCATTTCCTTTTGGTTTATTTTCACCTAAGCAAGTAAATGGAGCACACATCACTGAAAAACCAAGACACGTTATTAAAATTTGGTCGGCAGTGTAGCTCCCAAAAGTGTTCAGCAAAGTAAATCTTTATTAAACATCTTGATAATATGTCCTTCACCATTCTCAAGAAACTTTGGTTACCTGTTAAACAGAATCAATAACCAAATATTTTAAGTTTCTTATGGAAAGCTTCAAATTTAAAAATACAGGCCAAATAACAAAGATAAGAAAGGAAATAAATTTTACAAGGGAAAAACAACTTTTTGAAGTATATTTGTCTTTAAAAATCCAAAACCCAAAACATTGTTTTGAAAATTAAAATCATAAGAACAATGATAAACTTAATACAACCATAATAAATGTAATTCAAACTCTGAAAAATACAGAAAATATGAGCAAAATTTACAATGAAGTGTTAGAAAATTAGAGGACCAATCTCTAGTAGGTTTAATATTTTAATAATAAAAGTTCTTGTAGATAATGCCAGAAGAAATGAAGTAATTATCTAACTTACTAAAATTTCCATAATTTATAGAATTGACTTTCAAGATTGAAGAAGCCTTGCTATGTATAATATATAGAATGAAAAAAGACTCAGAATCAAGAATATAATTCTAAAAAGCCAAGTCATAAAGAACAAAAGAACCTCTAAGTTTCAAGAATAAGGATAGTAAATTGTGTTGCAATTTGAAAAGGATAAGAAAAGCCTCAGTGTTTTCTAAAGCAATACTAAAAACTTTAGATCACCTAGCATTATCTTCAACATTCCACAACAATGTATTTTGTTCCTAAAATATTTACACAAAATTTTGCAAAATGCACGGTATAAAAACAAAACATCCTGGGTTTTTTTTTTGGTTTTTCTTTTTTTTTAAACTATTTGCATTGGTATCAGATCACCTGAAACTAGAGTTACAGACAGTTGTGAGCTGCCATGTGGGT